CCCAGATATAACCCAAGCCATTCAGGAGGAAGAGAAGAAAAGGATTCCTGTAACTCCTGCCGTCAATCGTGACAATAAGTACGTTCGATAAGTTGTACCACAACTCATGCAATATGATAGCTTATAGGACTTTCTTTGTTGTAAACCAGCCAAAATTTATCAATATTTTCTAAGTAGGTTTGAAAGAATGCAAGAGCGATAGACTTAAATTTCATCGCTAAAAGTTCAATGTGTAGGGCAGTTATCTTTTCAGAATTAATGTAATTGTTATGTATTAATGTGAATTGCAGAAGTCCCAGTGTAATTGGACAATAGTTGCTTTTTAAGTTGTGGTATTTGTGTTAACATATTAAATGCCAGTCTTCTGACAGCTTGTGAAATGCAGAGCTTGAAACTTCAGTTTCTAAACTGTTTTAAATCAACAGCTCATTCTTCATCTGTGAATTAAATAAAAAAACAAAAGTACTAAGAACTAATGGAGTCTAACTCAGCCTCATTATAGGCCAGTGTATATGGATTTCTCACTATTGCATTGGCTGGTTTTGAATGCCTTAAGTGATGCATTTGGTGCTGTCTTGTGCCAGGGTATTTCATTCCCTGTGAAGGAGGGTGGTTCCGTTGGCTTATGAGCACAGCCTTGTCAAGTGTGAGACTCCTAAAAAATAATTTCTTCCTTACAGACCAGTCTGTTACACTAAAGCAGAAATTTCAAGACTCTCCGCATCACAAATTCGGAATCTTAATCCTGTGTTTGGGGGATCGGGACCAGCTCTTACAGGACTTCGTAATCTTGGGAACACTTGCTATATGAATTCCATACTACAGTGTCTGTGCAATGCGCCTCACCTGGCTGATTACTTTAACAGAAACTTGTATCAAGATGATATTAACAGGTAACAATCTGTTATTCTCATCCTTTAATTTATAATTGAAGGAAAAAAATCTGCCTTTACAATTGTTAATTCAAAAAAGTCACTTAGTGGGGCAAGAGGGGGTTGGTTTGTTTTTTTAAGTAGGAGACAAACGCTAACATCTAAGTGTCCTGATGTTTTCAAAATTTGTGTGTGACAAACTAGGTTTTACTGGACAGTCTTAATTAAATTGTGCTTACCACAATCATAAATAAAAGTGTACTAGAGTCTCCTAAAACCACAGAATATTTAAACAGCAATTTACAAAGAAGCTGGGAAGAGGTATACCTTCCATCAGCTCAGTCTTGAATATAGAACCAAATTACAGTGCCAAAGTAGGCAAAAATTTAAACTCAGTCTGACAGCCATTTTTTCTTGGCGTAAAGAAATTACTTTCAAATTGGGATAATGTCTTGAATTAATAACAATAATACTAAGAAAAAATTATGTGAACAACTCTGTTTGTTTGTTTTGGTCCATTTAATTGTATAGGTCAAATTTCCTGGGGCATAAAGGTGAAGTGGCTGAAGAGTTTGGTGTAATAATGAAAGCTTTGTGGACGGGACAGTATAAATATATCAGTCCAAAAGACTTTAAAATTACAATTGGGAAGATTAATGACCAATTTGCAGGATATAGCCAACAGGACTCCCAGGAATTGCTTCTCTTTCTAATGGATGGCTTGCATGAAGACCTAAATAAAGTAAGCAATACACTTGTAACAAATTCTGCATCTGTCAAATGATCAAGAGAAATAAATTTTTAAAAGACTTTAATATTTTATAAGATTATGTTACTGGAACCTTGCATAGAAGGAATTCAGAATTAAAGTAGGAATTTATTTTGAAACAGTATAAGGTACTGATGGGAGTAAGGGAAGAAGCCTGACTAGATAGGAAATGGAGGGCTCCATTGGACGCGTTTAAATATTCTTGCAAATGTTCGACAGTAGCTTGTCTATACACAAGACTTTCTATTTTTACATATGTTAATATATGGCTATGGTATTTAAACTCCTGTTATCCAGGCTGACAACAGGAAAAGATACAAGGAAGAAAACAACGATCATCTTGATGACTTCAGAGCAGCAGAACTAGCCTGGCACAAACACAAACAGCTCAATGAATCCATTATTGTGGCGCTCTTTCAAGGCCAGTTCAAATCTACAGTGCAGTGTCTTACATGTCACAAGAAGTCTCGGACCTTTGAGGCTTTCATGTATTTGTCATTACCGCTTGCATCCACTAGCAAATGCACGCTGCAGGTATGCTCGCACTAGAGAGAAACAGTTCTGTGAGTAAAAACATTTCTCTGTGACTTCATTATGTTGGGGTGCTTCTGCTCAGCCTCTTGTCGAAGGGCTTGGTCAGTGTTCCAGCTTCTTTTACACTAACCTGAAACATGAACTTCCGTTCTTCTAAAGTTTTAAAAAATAGATCATGCCTTAAAATTTTTCAAATAGAAGCAGGATGGGAATATGTAAGCTGCAGCAGCAGAAAAGACATGTCTAGTATTTGCTTTTGTAGGTCACAGTATAAATATTTTGTGCTTTTAAACAAAATATTGTAGGTATATTTTGAAGGACTTGCAGCTAATTAATATATGCAGTAAAATTTACTTCCACACATGGATGTAACTCACTTGACCTCATTTTTGTGAAACACAGCACACAGATAATTGATGCAGATTAACAACCAAATAGGAAACAAGCATTTTGCTGCACTTCCAGAAACACCTGCCCTTCACAATCTGTGTTTGTATTTATTTTTTTTTTTAGGAATGCCTTAGATTGTTCTCCAAAGAGGAAAAACTTACTGATAACAACAGGTTTTACTGTAGCCATTGCAAAACTCGAAGGGATTCTTTGAAAAAAATAGAAATTTGGAAATTACCACCTGTTCTTCTTGTGCACTTGAAACGGTAAGAGAAACAGTGAGCAATGAATATGAATTAGGCTGAAATGACCAGGCTTTGATGGAGATTGATTGTTCCAGTGCAATACCTAACTGTTTTTAATTAGAGAAAGTTCTGTATGTATTTCCAGTTGTAAGGGTGCAAGAATTTTATTTTCATCTGATGCCTGTTCTCTTAGGCTGTAGTTCACAAAGCACTTTCACAAGTAATCTCTCTTCAGTGGTGCTAAGAAACACATGCACAAGCATTAACAGAACTGGGGGCCAGAAGCTTTAGTTGAGATCAGGTCCTGGTTAAAAACAGGGAAAACAACCATCTTTAACATTCTTAGATAGCTTGTGAACAACCTGTAGCTTATAATGATGCTTTTTAATTCTCTAGATTTTCCTACGATGGAAGATGGAAGCAAAAGCTTCAAACTTCTGTAGATTTCCCATTGGAAACTCTTGACCTTTCACAGTATGTTATTGGTCCAAAGAATAACTTGAAGAGATACAATCTGTTCTCAGTATCAGTAAGTAACCACGTCACATTGCAAAGTTCAGCTGGTCTTTATGCCAAGACTTGGGTTTGCCTCGGTGATTCATCTAGGTTTCCAGGCTGCCTACCTGTTGTAGATTAAGTTGTATTCTAAAAAAGAATGATTGGTATTTATTTATTTCCCTAGCCAAGGAGGAAATGGCAGGTTTCAAAGGCCATTAATTCTTTTCTTTTTATGTTTACAGAATCATTATGGCGGGTTGGATGGAGGGCACTATACAGCCTACTGCAAAAATGCTTCAAAACAACGCTGGTTTAAGTTTGATGACCATGAAGTATCTGAGATCTCAGCATCATCTGTGAAATCTTCAGCTGCATATATTCTCTTTTACACGTCTTACGAACAGCGAGCAGTGGATATGGCCACGTAAAGCAGCATGGGCTAAGAAAACTGGTCTTCTTTTTATGAGAGCAAAGTAGGTATGGGAATGCATATAAATATGCAAACCTATGACAAAAATAGTTCCTTACAGATACGGGAATGGTTGCAGCAGCTTTTCTGCAAGTAAGCTCTTTCTGGTCAGTAGTAATGCTTAAAAAACAGAAGACTGATTAAAAAATGTTTGTGGTAATACTGCCATCTGTGAAACCATTTGAAAAGCATACTTGCATTACCATTTATTTAAAAAACAATTCTATTTTCAGTCTGCTCCAAAATTAAATTCTAGCTTAGTCATCTTAAATCTATTAACAAGTAGTTAAAAATGTCTTAAAATCCCAAGGCATATCTTTTTTTTTTCTTTCACTGTTATGGCCTTTTCACATTTCTAACCTAAAGCTTGATTCTACTGTGAATAGAATGATGTAAACAGTTAGGAATGTAAGTGTACATATTGATTGCATACTTGCACATCAGAACTATGTATATAATAAAATGTTGTCCTTTTTGTGAGAATCTCTAAATCTCAGAGGACTGCGTTTATTTGCCAGCTCTAAGTAATTGCAGCACTACTTCATAAAAAGGCAGAGCTGTGTTTTTTTTCCTGTTCGCTTTTGTCAATATTTGTGCACTTCAGAGTTATTCTAAACAAACAAGATTTTCCTTTTTAATTTTTTAATATAAATTTTCATGTACACATGCATTAAAAACCTTAATGAAGAAATGATTTAAAAATATATCCTGTTAAATGTATGTTTGGGTTTGGTGTTTTCATTCTCAACTAGCTGTGTAATGGGCAGGATTCTACATAATGACAGTCTGAACCATATTCGTGCAGTTTAAAGGTTCTTCAGATTAAAAAATATTGCTTTGGGTAGAACTGATTAGTTGAGAACCATTTTAGTTGCATCTTGTGCCTTTCCCTGCTCTGGATTTGTCAGTTTCTGAAGGGCAGCTTAAATCAACATAATTAACTTCACCAACAGAGAAACAGGAATTTTCAGGTAGGTGCATCTATATGCTCAGCTTTTGTGTTCTTTTGCGGGATGGATGAGGTTTGTCATGGAAAACAGCCGTTAGACCCTGTACAAAGGGAGCGGATGGATGCACGTTCCTTAACAGGCCTGGAAGCTGTGACTCCTCTCTCTAGAAATGACTTCCTCAAAGACCACAACAGATGCTCGGTAATGCAAATACTCTAGTTTACTGATGGAACAGGACTTGGCCACTGATTGGGTTCCAGGGCTAGCAGGTTTTTAAGGGGTGCAGAGAAGGTCTGGACAGGTGTAGAACAGGAGATAAGCTGTGCCAGTCTGCACTGAGGAATCTGGGATCCTGGTGATCTGCGCATCATCAAAGCTGTACCAGTTTTCAGTAACCGAGTGCTTGCAGAATGCCGTGTAGTGGCCATCGTCCAGAAAACCAACGTGGTTCTGTAACAAACAACACAGTCTGGTAAAACAGAAGGCTTGCGCTTTCTCCTGCCAGGCAAAGGTAGGAAGTGGCAATCGGGTTGTGTCTGCACTTGGAAAAGAGGGGAGAGAAGATTCTAACCTCCTTTGGCCTACAGTGAGGAACGTTACTTAAAATAAATGCTTTAAAACAGAGTAGATTATTATTATGCTTCTTTATTTGTTATATTGAATTTGTAACCCAGCTGTTAGCCCTGAACAGGTCACTGTCAGCGGGCCCCACTTTCAGCAAGTGATGGAAAAAGAGACCCTTTGGTCCTTATTTATGAAGAGGATCCATGCAGCATCAGCTTGCGTGTTTATGCTGAAAAGGCTGAGGAGGCTCCAGGCAGGTGTGTGCTGGGAGTGTGTGCTTTTTAAAGCTGGGATGTGGCTGGGGGAAGGAGAGAGGTGAGAACTTATCCTCTCAGCTTTGGTTACATGCTGTTACTGGATTATGGCATGGCAGGTTAAAAGAAGTGCATGAAAGACACATGTAAATCATATATACAAAGGCCAAATGAACACAGGCTTCATCTGCTACATGGGGCAGGGCATTACACATAGAAAAGAAAAACCAAAGCTCACCACTACAGCACACAAGCTGTACTTGGCATCCTTGCAGGAAAGTGGGGAACTGTAAGGAGAGAGATCCAGGTTGCTGAGGGGATAGCGGATGTCAGTCAAGAGTTTCCTTCTGTGCTTGCCTTGCCATTCAAACCTGAAATAAGATTTTGAACTATTTTAAGTAACACTCAGCTTCTGTCTTGCAGCGTGGTGGTTGCTTAACTGACTTTCCTAGGGGTAAGGAAAAATAATGACTATCCCACGTTTTGAAAGAGAAAGATGTGTTAAGTATTACAGTAAACTGACAGAAAAATGCGCTAAACCCACAAGAGAGGTTCACCAAGAAAAGCAAAGCTCTTGCTTCCTGATCCTTCTGTCCATTAGAAATGGACACATGCCAAGAGCAGGCAGAAGTTAAATCTCTGCATCACTGTCACTGTGTCCTAAACATTTTGGACTGCACTGTTGTCAGCTCTTCTTTCCTGCCAGGCTCCATCCATCTTGCTTCTGTAACTTTTAGTACAACACTATACTTTGAAAATTTTATGATGTGGCCAAGGGCTGCAGCTGGTGACGACAGCTCATTTGAGCGTGTCAAGGAAAGCAGATGCTGAAAGGGAAATTAAAAACTAACATCACATAATGTAGTTCTGGGAAGCCAAATCATCCCAGAGTGATTTTCTTTACAGGCAGGAAGTCGGTAAGAATAAATTCTTGAGACTAAATCTGGCATCTGGCCCTGCGTGGCTAGTAAAGTCTGTTCATTGGGAGCTCTTACGCTGCTACGCTGCTCTGGTTAGTAGACCCAGTTGCTTAGACCTGACTTAAACAAAGATACAGTGTCTCCGCTGCAAGACAAGCAAAATGCCCTGTTTCAGTCCTGCCCTGAGAACCCAAGTCACAAGCTCTCCCGCTTGCCCCAGGAACTCATATGCGCGGGGATGTCTGGCCATGGGAGCCATTGAACTGCTCCGTAGTCAGTCACTCCTCTGGGGAGTTGTTCTCCCGTTTGGAGAAGAGATCCCAAATGTAGTGAGTGACGCTTGGTGGGCTGGAGTGCAGAGTAAAGCAGAACACAGCGTCTGAGATGTCAGGAATGCAACTTGCATGTTTGACAGGTGAATCTCTGTAACTGCCCATCTAGTACCCTAAACACCCATTTGCAGTGATCTGTTTTTCCTTTTCTGCAAGTGCAAGTGACTGTCCTTCATGTCGCACAAATCCCAGGAAAGGGCCATGTCCTTCCCCATACAGACTGTACCTCTTCAGGTGAAAAATAACGATCTGTGGTGCCTTGGTTATGGTGGCCTTCACTGCAGCATCTCGTTTAGTTCCACACCAGGAACAGTGGATTTGGTTGTTCCAAGTCAGTGTGTCTTGCTGAAAGAAGCACTTGAGACAATCCTGTCAAAAAACAAACAAACAAGCAAAAACCCCAAACATTTGATGAAACAGATCTCCACCCCTCAAGATCCTAAGCAAGGTAGGAGAAGGGTTTGCCATACTCTGGAGCTCTCTCCGTAATCGAAGCATGACGTAGCAAGGCTGACACCATTACCAACAAACTTGGAACACGAAGCAGCCAACATTGGCTCTGTTTTTCCGCCTCAGCTGAGGAAATACTTTGAGAGACAGAAACCCTCGGCGTTGCTGTTGAGCAATATTCCTCATCCCATGGCAACTCAGGAGCGTTGCTCCCATAACCTTACCGGCCTCCACGCCCCAGAAGCCAGCACAGAAACTCCACGTCTCTTCGGACCAGTTCAAAGACTGTCCATTAGTGCCCAGCAAACCAAAGTAACTAAAACCCTGCGTCTTTTAAATAACATGAATTAATCTGAGCCACCTCTCCCCACATGAACCAGAAGCCAGCAAAAAAGGAATGTACCAGAAGTCATACCTGCAGAGAGCATGTGCTCCTAGAAGGGATGGGCAGGGAAAGAACAGTGAAGGTCTCGGGTCTGCTGGTGGTGGTCCTGCATTCCTGACAGGTGATATCGTAACTCAGCTGTCCCTCAAATAACTGGGTGATAATAGAGGTTTCGCTGACACTCCCTCCACTTGCTTTTGCACTGGTTTTGCACCTTCTTTGGCTTGACTATATAGAAGAAAAAAACAAAACCCAAAAAAGTAGGTACCCAGCTGTTTCAGAATTGCCTTCACTGGGTTTTACTGGTCGCTGCCCGCTGCCTGTGTAGGCTTGGGGGTAGTCTTGTCACAGCACTTGGCTCCACAATGCTATTACTTTACTTGATGTTTCATACATGCAGGGTGAGCTAAATTCCTCTTCTGAGATAAATTAAACAGAAATACAATACTCTGGGCATTAGACAGGAGTGACTTAATTGCTAGACAAGCTCTTTATCAGTGGCTCTGAAGAACAGAAAGGCAGACATGGGGCATGGCAGACATGAAGATTTCAGGCAGATGAACAAAAGGGAGAATGTAAACCACGGAAGGAGCAAGGAGAAGCAGAGGTGAGGATAAGGGAGCTACAGCCAGCATTATCATTTAGAGGGGAGCTGCAATTTGATGCGCCATTAGACAGGAAGCAAATGAATTATTGTGTGTATGTGGGTATGAAACAAAGGAAGAAAGTGACAGTTTCTAGCAGCTGCATCATGTAGTTCAGAAGAGTAGGACAGGCGATTATTACATTAAACACTAGATCACGAAATGCAAAGAGGAAACAGCTACAGTCCCCATAACACCACAGATGGGCTCTTACCTTCTTGAGAGCCTCATGGAGCTCATTCAGCACACAGATCAGAAACTCCTGTGCATCCTGCTGCGTCCTCTTGCGAAAAGTTGGGTACCTCTTCGCAAGTACTGAATGAAAAACCTCTGGGGAAACACAGTCGAACTCTCCAAGCCACATGTCAGACAGCAAACGGCCAAAGGCAGCCGCGGAGTCACCATTCTCCCTTGGAAAAAATAAGCATCAGTTTCAGGTCAAGTATGAAAAGATGATGGCTCCACCTTCCAATAGGAGCGTAATACCTAAACTTAGAAAATACGTGCAGGTACAGTATGGCTCTGACAGCCCATCATTTGTTTTGAGGGACTCTGCAAATACTGGAACATAGTAGGAATCATCATTGAGACAGCAATGACAATAACTGGTATTGCCACCAACATGACAAAAAAAGTATAATGCTTAAGGTACACAGGAAGGGCAAATGCCTCGGGGTCTCAGAGGAAGGGGGAGGAAACCAGCTTGTGGCCAGTGTGACTCTAACTGCTGGGTGGGGAGCTGGCAGGTGGCTGCCTGGGACATTCTCCTGGCAAGACGTATCCTTTGGAAGGAAAATGGCAATGCCAAGCAGAAAAATACAAATAGCGTGAATAACGCAACTTACTTGTGTAGAGCTGCTTTATACTTTTCTGAGAGGAAATACTCCACGAGTGGCGGCAGGCTGCAGAGGCACTGCAAAATTGTGTTCATGTAGCACGTGTTGCCCAGATTCCTCAGGCCGGTGAGCCCCGGGCACTGGCTGTTCAGCTCCTCCATCAGTTCATTGCAGGAGTGCTTCACACTTTCCAAGCAAATGGAGTCATGCTTACACTTACTGGGGAAAAAAAACCAAACCAAACCCACCCACAACAATGGAAATCTAAAATGCTACAATGATGTTCTTTATGTTTTTTAGAAAGCAGTACTGTTTTAAGGAGACATTTCCTGCTGTTTCAGGAAACTTCTTTACAAGTCACATTCACATTTACTTTCATCAAGGTAATACAGTCGTAAAGACTCTCCATCTCCCACACTAAGCTCTTCCCAGTATGGTGAGATACATCATTAAGAGGTATTGTTTAAAGGTCTGGGGCTTTATAGTTACTCCTAAAATTCCATTCAGTCTTTTGACTCCATACACAATTACTCAAAACCTATAACCAGCTGTAAATAGCTATATTAAGCCTTTCTTCCTACAGAACGCAAATTATATTTAATTTGCTCAGTAGTTTGGTACTTAGATATTTTCTAAAAGCATAGATTGCCTTTCATGTGCTACTATAAACAGGTTGCTCTTTAGACTTTTTCCATAAAATGTTACTTAATTCATGTAAGAAAATTTTAGTAGTTTTTTTTCTTGCTGCACAAGTCTGTAAGTCCGGGACCAAACTGTCCCCATCCCCAACTAGGCAGAAGAGAGGTCTGAACACAGACCCTGCACAACTCAGATGTGCTCACTGGTGTTGCCTTCCTTGAATTTAAAGGCTGATAATTGTATTCTGATGCAGAAAGAGAGAAAATTCTAAAACCTCAACAATCTTGGCAGAACAAGCAGAGCCATTTCTTTCCCTTCAGCTCAACAACACGTGCCCAAGTTCCCCTTTCTGGAGACCTCCCAGGCCGACAGCCACTTTCTATCATTTAATAGCTACAAAACAATTACAGAACTGTTTCCTTTTAAATTTCAATAACAGCAGAGCCAACATTTCCAAACAGCTCTACCTACAGACCAGTCTCCTATGATACCACTTAATTCCATCTTTTATAGCCATCGCTGAGAAACGTTAGCTTGGAGGAGAAAACACGTTGGGACTGTCAGGGATGGGAGGTGGCGGGGAAGCCACCGGCAGCCTTGCAGGGAGCCTGTGCTTGCCCAGCTCAGGGAGGTGGCTCTTGCCTTCTTTTCTTCACCATCACCTCTTCCGGCCCGTTTCATGGCATGACTAGCCTGCTACTGCACAGCCCAGCCCCGGGCGCCCCTGGCCCCACCGCTTTGTGATGTCATCTGTTCCGCCGGTTCTCAGCCAGGGGAATGCGCCTGGCCCGACCTGCCTCTATCTCCTTCCTACACACCACCCAAAGCAACCTTGGGAAGCAACAGGCACCCACCGATTCCACTGGGCAGAGTTTCAGCAAACTTAGGGAAAGGCTGAGCTAAGGCTACAGCAGAGGAACGGCCACAAACATCTGACTCGAAGAAACAGAACTCCAGCAAATTTCTGCAACAGATCTGCTCAGTTGCAGCAAGGGTGTGAGGGACAAGAAAGCTTCCTCCGGCCCAGCTTCACCTTCCAAGGGCAGCTTTTGTTAGCAGTTAATTGCACTTTTGTGGAAACAAGATGAGAGAAGGCTGCCGCTGGCTGCAATGGTCATTACTGACATCTTCTTAAAAGGGAAAGCCTGAAGTTTCAATCTCAGAAAATAATCAGCTTGCCATTTTTCTTGACTTCAAAGCTCCCTGCAAGAAAGAGTTTTTCAGGTTCTGTTCAAAAATCAATTTGTCTTAATCCTCCTCTTCCTGCTGTGCAACACCCCTCAGCAATTGTTGGGGCTTAGTTTCCACTTCTACTACTCCTAGTGATATACACTATCTCTGTCTCATACATAGCACAAAACCAACACTCTAGCAACATGGCACAAACAAGGAAAACCACTGGCTAGAATTTTTTTTTTTTTTTATAACTTCCAGTGTAGTCCAACAACCCATGATGACATGTCTTCGCCCTGCTGCATAGTTAAATAATACTGAGATGCATTTCATTACTACTAATGAAACAGTAATTAGCCCTGTGCCCCCAGCATATCTTACCTTTCCTGCCCACTTCATCTGGAATCTCCACCTCAGGAACTTGCTCCTTCATCTTCTTGGCAAGCTCCTGCTACTGGACTAAGCATTCTCACCATCTGCTCTAAAAAAAACCAAATGCACAAAAATAAATTACAACCCCCAAAGGCTTAGCAGCTACAAAACGTTCACGAGCTTTATGTTTACAGTGATGTGCAAGTGCACACAACCACAGCAGCTTCTGGAGCCATTTGATGCACTTAAATTCCAGCCCCACCATAGCTGATACAAAGGACTTGTATCTTGATTCCACTCCATTAGTGACAAGTATGAGCACAGCCAACTATTTCTTTAGAGCAAGAGCAGCAAATAAGATGTGTTGTAAAACATGCTGAGAACAGTAGATAGAAGGAAGGAACCAAGTAATTTGTTTTTCTTATACAGGACAGGGAACAATAACACTGCAAACTATTTAGCAGTTGGCAGCATTAACAAGAGCTGTTTCAACTTCTACTAATTCTTAAAAACATTCTTACCAAAAGTCCTTGCCTTCCTGCAGAGGGGAACACATTAAAGAAGGAAGATAGCTTGACGAAACATACTGAAAAGCAACTACTACGGCCATATACAGGCTGATGACAGCATTAAAAACCACTTTTTGAAACCTTTATTGGGAAACAATAAGAGCTGTCACGCAGGTAGAACACAATTTGTACTGAAAACTACAAATCACTGAAACCATTAAATATAGAGTATTTTAAAAAGACTATAAATCCATGTAGCTAAATTTTACTCTTAGTACTAAAATCAGTAATACCAGCATTCATCATTCAAGAAGGCAAAAACATATGCTTATTCCTACTTTTTGTGGAATCTGAATGAAGACCTTGATTTACAACTTTAACATGACATGATACACAAACCTGCATCAGTGCTACTGCAAACTCAGGCACTGAGAATTAACTTACCCTCACCACCAAATGGATTACTTGCAAGGAGAAGGTCTAATTGTAACAAGAAAGATTAAATCATCAGAAGTGAATTTTAGAATTTTAGAAGCATTGTTACATTTTTTTTTTTTAAATGTGGGGTTTTTCCCCCCAATTGATCTTTTAGGAACATTCAACATGAACTGTTACTACCAAGCTTTCAGATGCAGTCTTTTCCTCCCTCCAAATTCTTGCAGCGTTATGTGTTGGGGCGTTAAGTGAGATGCAACCACAAAGAATAAAAATTAAGGAAATCCCTGCCACAGGCTTACAAGCCAAGTCTCTTCTGAATCACAGCGCTGCTGAGCAGCAGCTAGGAAACCAGCTCCCCAGGAGACTCACCTTTGTGTATTTTGCCACAATGTATTTGGGATTGGTTTTCTCTGAAATGTTCCAGCACCTAAATACTGCAAGAAAGCAGTCAGCAATGCTGAATTTGCTGGATTAATTACAAGATTAAATTAGTGCACTCATATATTTGGGGTTTTTGTATAAAGAACTATTGATGCTGAAGTAAATTACAGTGCATTTTAAAACAGACATTACATAAGCAACCAACACTAGTCTACAAGTACATACTATTCCGTGTCATCTGTTATTCAATGGTTTTTGTTCTAATAAAAATATCCTGAGGAAGGTGGGTAGGGAATCAAAACTATCTGTCAAGGAAAATAATGTAGCTTACCTATTTCCCTAAGAGAGATATTCTCTAAATACCTTTTTAGGAGGCAAGTCACTGGAGCATTTCAGATTTTTACTAAAAATAGAGAAGGTTTGAATTAGTATCCCTGTATTTAAAAACTAGGCTCTAACAAGATATGCTGACATTTTGGTTTTGGAGAGATAACAAAAGTTCCAGCGCTGCTTCTACTTTCCTCCGCTTCAGTAATCTAACAGAAATTTAAAAGGTGAAGGATCACAACCCTTCCCTGTTCATAGAGCACTTCAAGAGTTTCAGCAGAGGAGTGACACTTGATGTTCTCAACCAAATTAAATTACATGGGGTAACCTTCATGTTCCTGCAGCCTGACATCAACAGGACACGGTATTATCCTCACAAGGCCAGGCTACTTCTTCAAACCAATTTTTTTTTTTTTCTTTACCACCACACTTTTCCAATGCCTTCTGTGAAGGATACTTAGATTTATGACTTTTCTGACAGTGTAATGAAGATAACTCGTGAAAGTCATAATTTTCCCCTCAATTTAGGCATAGGCTTCTCATACAATTCTAGGTGTGTCGAGAGCAAGCTAGTAGCCATGCCAGGAAGATGTACAGAAATACGCATGGCGTTAACCACTCCAAGTCTTACATACATGCCCCAGCCCTATTTGTCCCTTTTGGTTTTGGAAAGGCTTCAGGCCCCAGTCACTGCAACACTGAGCAGAGGGGACCCTCCCCACTCACACACCCACCACACAAAAGCCACATCTATTTATTTTGTTAAGAAACATGGCACAGGCAAAACTACTGAAGACAGGTATCATGGTTGTAAAAATTAACTGTGCATTAAGTATGTCAGGAAACAAAGTTTCCTAACTTCTACTTAGAATTTTCCCAAAACAGTTTTCCTGTTTCATACACTGAACTTGGTCCTGTTTTCACAACACCTGAGGCTCCTCTAGAAATCCTTCCCAGTTTGAAGAGCCAGCCTCCTTTGCAGATTGACTGTTGCTGTTATTTGGCTAAGAACATAGCATTAAAAAGTATAAGCACATCTTGAACAACTGCCCATCAACTCACAGGAACAGCAGGGGATGCAGTCAGGCATCAGCTTTAAGATATTTTTGTCCCATTTACTCATTAACCCCATCACATATGTTTGTCTACTACGAGAGTTTTCACTTCCCTGACGCCCGAGTTTCTGATGTTAGCCACAGCTGAGATACCCCAAAGGCGGCCAGCTGCTTTGATCCAGCATGGCAAATTCTACTTTTCTGCACAGAGTTACTTAAATTCACCCAAATAACCTTTCAGACCAAGACAGACAGAAGTCTGTAAACAAGAATAAATTTATTTTAGATTCTTTAAAGATTTAATGATATACAAAATGTATACAGTATTATATCCTTATAACATTTTACCTTTCCCCATCGAACATAAAACACCATTTAAACAGCTATTGTGTTCGTGCCTTAGGTCTGTATCTATAAGATACACTACAGAATAAAAAATTTATAGAGCTATATACTGCCCTTTTAATTAAAAATTACAAATTAGTACCTATGTAACAAAAAAAAATTCGCAGCATGAAACTTCAGTTGGACAAGAGTTTTTTCTTGCTGAATGCTCAACAATATTTGGGACAGTTAAATTACATTTTATTGGCATGAAGGTGCATTGCAATCTCCCGTACTTTACATAATGCTTATCCAACCCTAGTCTCTCTTAAATAAGTACCACAAATAACATAACATTAAAGATGTTTTCTACACAATTTTAAATACATTTGAAAGTTACGTGTACATTCGGTTTTGATATACTGGTTTTACGAGATCTTTGGAAGGCATAACTTCTGAAGCAGTCACTACGTACGAGGAAAAGCACTTCCAACTTTTGTTCTTACAAGGCAACTTATTTGGACCAGTACATACTATTTCATCTATTAAATACGATTATACCAGTCTCTCATGGCTTTGTTACTATTTGATGGTGACTTGATAAAATTGAAATGTATAAAACAATAAATTTCATTATGCACAATTAGGGCTTTATTCCACCAAAACCCCCAGCTTTACAGCCATGAAGCTGAATCCTGATTCAGGAGATTCTCTCTCTATTGGAACAGATCAAGTTCCTACCTTCAGCCTCAGCCTACTGGCATCATACACACACCTCATTTGGCTCTGTCCTCTTCAAAAAGCCAGACTAAAAGACATCTGGTGAGAAAACATTAGTGGAACACTTCCAAAAACACTCAAAGAATACTCTGGCATTACAGAGGTAGGTGCTTTCTCCTGTCTTTTGCTGATCGACAGTAAGACAGCTGCCAAACAGACAAATGCTTTACCTTAAAACATCAACTACCAAAATCCTTTTGGTTGAAGGCATATTGCACACCACAGGACTACAGAGAGAAAATCCTCCACTGAACACAAAAAAAAACCCAAACAAAAAAAACCCCACCTTCTGCTAAAAAGACCTTTTAAAAACGTATCTTAAATACTTGTCATTATTCAACCTTTAAAATGATGAGCCACCAAGCTGTTCTCTGTAGGTATCACAAGTTGTTAGGTCCTCAGACTATGGACCAGACAAAATTCCACTTATAAGACACCCATCCTTGTTTTGACATATCCTTCTTCTAATTTCTGAAGGAAAGATAAGTGACAACTTTGTGACATTCCATGAAGTTTGGATGAAGCCACTGATTTGGTCGCATCATTAGAGCATCAGACGAATAGAATTAGCTGAATCGGATTCTTTGGTGCAGCTTCCAGGCTGAATTGTCAATTCAGGGGAATCATCCTGAGGAAATATGATCTTGTCAGGTGTGTAATCATTCCTCTTCAGATCTGTACAAACAAAATGAAGTCATACCGATTACTATTTCTTGAGATAGTAGAATCCACAAGGCATAGAAGTCTTTCAAAGACTTGAGTATGCATGTGTACTTATAAAGAAGAATTCCTCAATATGCACTGTGTCAAAAAAGGATGTTTTTATCATGCATGTAATTGGAAGTCTAAAGCTCTCCTTTAAAAAGTGATGGAAACTTCAGATTTGTTATTTATAGATATTATAGCAAGTATTCTATTCTCCATGAAAATTGGATCCTTCCATGATCTGTTTTGATGTTACCAGTATTTACAACTTGAATTTAAAATAAATGACCTCTATTCATGTGAGAAACAACCTGCAAGAGAAGTGTGAAACAGGCAGGAATCATCTAAGTTCTTTATGTTGTTCTACATAAAACCCCGATATAGAGAAACAATTTCAAGATTTGAGATGAGTGCAGCGTAGTCCATGCAGCAAAAATATCTGTAATTGAAAGTTTTTAACAGAATGAATTTCTGCAGACCTAGACATATTTTTAAAAATAAATAAACAAAACCAAACAAAATAATACTGAACACCACAAATAAAAAACTCCCAAACAACAAAAAAAAACCCCAAACCAAAAAATTCCTCGGAACAAACACAAGCAACATTTTGTTTAAAAAGGCTGAAGGTTTGCAATCATCTTGACCTGCTTTTCCTACTTTTTCTAGGACCCTTTATCATTTTTTACTGTACCTTCTGAAGTGTTGATCAACCTAGTCAACCTTCCTCAAATCCTGTGCGTACGGATATAGAACACAGACTTTCTTAATTCCTTCATTTAGGATTTTATCTTAAAATGGTGTATCGTTTTAAAAATAAAAATAAAAATACAAACCTGCTTTTTATTGCTTATTCCACTATCACAGCATGGCATAATTACTTCATTACACAGCATATAACATTTCATGACATGAGTGTCTCAGAAGAAGAAATACAGCAACTCTTACCAGGAAGTTTAAGCTTCCTGCAGCAGGAA